GATTGAACGTTTACGTTATCCGTAACGTACATGTTAGGCTCAGTTTTAACAGTAATTAGGCAAGTTCGTATGATGAAAAACGGTTTCCAACACATTTATTTTCCGCCTGTTATGTTCTAATTTAACAGTTTTCCATCATACAAACTTGCTTCGTTACTGTTAAAATAGGACCTAACATGTACGTTATGGATAACATAAACGTTCAATCATAGGACCCAATATGTCATATTTAAACGAAAAATATGGAAATTTATTACAATCTGTCAGTTTCTGCAGCGATTTTGTTAGTGATTTCGAACAATATCAATTCTCAATAAAAAAGTTATCGATATCGAAAAGTTAACCAAGGATAATCTTGATCTGAAGAAAGAGGTAGAAAACCTCAACTCTCGAGTTGATGCGTTAGAGCAACAATTAAGGTCTAACAACGCTGAAATACATGGAATACCAGTCAAAAACAACGAAAATATACATAGCAATGGAAATTGGAACTGCTGTTGATTATCCTATCACTGAAGCTGACATCTACTCTTTATATAGAGCATCGACCTATGATGTAAGTAGACCAAAATCTATAGTGTTAAAATTTAAAAATAAATCAAAAAAAGATGCTTTTTTAGCTGCAGCAAAAACTAAAAGACGACAAAACAAAAATTACAAAGGTTAAAAAATTCCAAACATTTCAAATGAAGTATATATTAATGAGCACCTAACTTCGAAAAACAAAATGTTATTAAGAAATATAAAACAAAATGCTAAAACTAAGAATTATAAATAAGTTTGGAAGACAAACTGCAATATTTTTGTTTGCAAAAACGACACAGCCAATGTTATTAAGATATCTACAGATAAGGACATTGGTAAGTTAGTTTAATAGGTGCTAATAAAACCCTTAATAGAATTAACATTTTTTTTTACTTCTCGCTATGGATAAAGACAACGAATTTTAATTTCATACCAAAATGTTAGAGGTCTCAATACCAAAATTAATGTGCTGAATCAAAATCTATTAAATTCCGAAAGTAATATAATTTGTTTAATGGAAACTTGGCTTTCATCATTAATATCTAATAAAGAAATTTCTACATCATACAAAATATATCGTCGCGATAGGGAATAAAGCTCTTCAAACAAATTGTGTGGTGTTTTAATAGCAGTGTCAAATGATATTTTTAATTTCTCTGAGGACTCGTGTACCTCTGAGGCTGAGGATATTTGGGTCACCATTATACCCAACCGCCAAAAACGATACAAGGTTCATATTTGTTGTGTTTACATACCTCCCAGAGACAGGGTGGCACTAAATTTCTTCATATTTTTCTAAATAACATAAATGTTATTTGTGGCTATTTCAATTTACCACAAATAGAGTAGTTTAAAGATACTATCGATAATTACTACAAACCAAACAATTATAGTGATCCCAGTTCCAGTTTATTGGTGGACACCACTGATCTGTAATAATACAGATCAGTGGTGGACACCATGTCCTTGGTTGGTATGTATCAATACAATTCTACTGTTAAAGTAAGCGGTAACACTTTAGATGTAGATTTGAAACAATATTGAGTATTCGTGGAACAGAAACAAAAGTCTGGCTAATTGAATCCTACCACAGCCATTCAACTAATTAAAAAAAAAAAAACACTTTAGATCTTGTTTTAAATAATAATTTTTTAATAAAAAATATAAAGTCGTCTACTTTACCACTGGTTGCTGAGGATCCATTACATAACACTCTAGAATTTGATATTAAATATTCTAATGTAACGAAAACGAAAGTAAATAATCATTATGAAAAAAACTTCAATTTAGCACACTACACTGAAATAAATCATCTTCTATCTGCAATTGACTGGAATAAACAATTCCAATTTCCGACAATCAATGAATCAGTAACAGTATTTTATGAAATTGATAATAATATTTTGGACCGTCATGTTCCCAAGAATCCCAAGTATTGTAAAGCATACTCTTTTGTGGTTTTTTTTGACAACCATTAAAGCTATTAAAGAAAAGATAAAATTTCATCGACGCTGGAAAAAATATAATAACATTTGACATTCAACTATTTACGTGGTAGATCAAAATTTTTGATAAACAAGGATTACAAAGAATATTTAAATCGGGTTGAATCTAGTATTACTGAAAATCCTGAGTATTTTTTTCAATATGTTAAAAACGAAAAAAAATACCCTATTTTACCCGAAAATCTCGTAACCAATACAGGTCTAATTACAGATCCACAGGAAATCTATAACTCTTTTTCTGATTTCTTTTCGTCTGTTTTTGTGCCAAGTGATCCTAGTGATTTTTCTGCTATTTTCAACAGCGTTCCTCTGAATATTACTTAATATAAAATATCTCGTGAAATAATTTCGTTAAAAATAGACAATTTGTCTGATGAAGGTTCTGGTCCAGACGAGATTCCTACATGCTTTGTTAAAAAGTGTAAAAATTCTAAAATTCTCTCATTGACCCTTTGTATTTCTTATTTAATAAATCTTTAACCGAAGGACAGTTTTCTGATAAATGGAAAACTGCTTTCGTTGTGCCAATCCACAAATCAATAAAAACAAGGTGAATAATTTTAGACCTATATCAAAACTTAACTGCAATCAAGTAAACTATTTGAAAGTTTAATTTTCGATTTTTTATTTTGTAATGTGAAGAATATTCTTAACATTGAACAACATGGTTTTATTAAAAAACTATCGGTTGAAACTAATTTATTTATGTTGAATACATATTGAAAAGTTTAAATGACGGAATGTTGGTAGATTCTGTGTATACCGACTTTAGTAAAGCTTTTGATGAAATTGACCATTCTATCCTAATATCGAGGCTCGCTGAGGTCCGGCGTACACGGGAATCTGCTAAGATAGTTTGACTCTTATGTAAGAAATAGGTCTCAACAGGTAGCATTGGGTAAATACAAATCTATATTTATCATTCCTGCATCAAAAGTACCACAAGGATCTCATCTTGAGCCGTTACTCTTTAACCTTTATGTCAATAATATATGTAACTGCTTTGAATTCGCGAAATTTATCATGTACGCTGACGATCTAAAAATTTATCATTTTATAACTTACTTACTTACTTGATAGGATTTTGTTTCAGCAAGATCTAGATAGATTTTGCGATTATTATAGAAAACATAATTTGTTTTTGAATGCATCTAAGTGTTATATACATTTCACTCGAAGTAACACTTATTTACATAACAGTTACATCATTAATGAATCTACACTTCAACCAGTGGATAAAGTAAAGGACTTGGGTATATTTCTCGACTCTAAATTATTGTTCGAAGAGAATATATATTATATCACTAGTAAAGCAAATAAAGCATTAGGCTTTATTTAAGAACAAGTTACGAAATTAAAAATCCTCATAGAATCAGAGCCTTATGTATGGCTTACGTTAATAGCGTACTCATGTTTGTATCAATAATTTAGAATCCTTTTTACTTAGTATATATAGATAAGTTACAATCTGTTCAGAATAAATTTATTTCTTATTGCCATAAAAAATATTATCCTCAAATAAGAGGAAACAAAATTTTATCGAATTTAAATTTAATCAATCTAGAATCACGAAGACAAATTTCTGATATAATGTTTATGCACAGAATACTTAATCGTCAAATAGACTGCATTGATATAATTAATCTCCTTCAATTTAATTGTCCCAATTATAATACTAGAAATATTAATACATTTTTCTTAACAAGGCAGCAACCAACTATTAGTTAAATGCTCCCCTCCGTAGAATATAAAAAACTTGTAATCAGTTGTCAAATATAGTTAACGTAGATATTTTCTTTCATAGTTTTATGTTCGTAAAGAAAGGACTGTTAAAATATTTTCTAAATCAGATATGATTATTGTATAACTTTGTAGGTACTATATTATTGTATAATTTAATATGTAATCTCTCTTGTTGATAGTTTTTAATCTTTATTTTCAAGTAGGTATTATTGTAAATGATATGATTATTGCATGATTTTGTACTATATTATTGTATAATCTAGTGGACACTTTTTTTGGGATAGTCCTGTCTGTGTCCCGAATAAAAGAAAATAACCAATCACACTACCAGTCACTTCTTCTGAATTCAGTCGTTTCTCCAATTTTTCTCGGATTTGCCGTACCTACCCCATAATCTGCAATTCTGCTCGTTTACGTATCCACCAATTTCTAAATGAGCTCATTCCTTAATATTTTTAGAAGAAAACAACGTAATTTTCATTTTCTTTTTCTAGGGCCAAATTAACAAATTTACAACGTAAAACGTTTTCATTTTTTGAGGCAACTGCGTCTTATAAATCTTTAAATGAAGATCTTTTTTTGAAATGTTATATAGATTATAACTTTTACCGCAGCAATGTTTTCGTCTACATGTTGTTTGTTTGCTTCTACATACCCAGGCTGTTGCAATTTCCCAATAAAATTCTCAGTAACTTTAACAGATGGTGCCAAATTTCTTCCGTAATGCGTTTTGGAGTCAAAATATTCTCCATTTTGGTAGTAAGTTTTTACAACAAATATGCCTTCTTTGATAGAGAATTGCTCCATAATGACCAAGACACGACTAATCGAAAAATGTTTACTGTAGGAAACCTGTCAATTACGATTTGTATAAAAAGCTGCCAATTTAAATATAAAGGTCAGATTTATTAGGATATATTGCGTTTGCAATATAAATATAATGGGAAGATATATTTTTATCTAGTTACATAAACAATGTCAAATAAGTATACAGGGATAATATTATGTATTGTGGTTGTAGAAAAAATAAATACAGATATTCTTCAATCAACGTTAGTTTCAAACATTGGCGCCTTTTGCGAGTTATGCGCTCTCTTAAACACAAAGCTGTATATTACTAAAATAATTACACCCAGAAAAATAAATTGTAAAAACGCTAGTTTTAATATTTATTTTTTTTTACTTATATGTATTTATCTTATAATTAAAACTTGTCACTTGTTGCAGAAATATCATAATGTTGAGCCACAGTGCGAGGTAAGTTGCCATAAAACGGAGCATGATTTTTTCAGTGTTTCTTACGTTACCTGTTTTTTTAATTGTGTGTGTCTTTACTCAAAAAATGCCTTTTTTATACCTGTTTCTATGCTTAATAATTGTTTTCTCACTAACACACAGTTTACACTACACTAGAACACTTTGTTTATCATTTTAGTTTCCCCAGTTCCACCTCATCTACACTAAGAAAGGGCATTATTTTTTTGCGACATATTAGATTCATTTATTTAGGTGCATCTAAGGCGCCTAAAGAAAAGCTTCAAATTACTACATTAAAGTTCTTAAAAAACATTGAAGTGAATTTTTAGATTAGAGTCATATTATTTAATTTATAATTACTTTGCATTTTACTAAAAAAAAAAACAATAAATACAAGGTGTCTTATATGCAGGAATTTCAGGTCGTCTCGTTTAAAAGGATTTACCTTGAATTTTCGAAAATAGAACTTTTATTTCGATAGATTTTAAATAATTTTCAATTGTTTGAAGAATTTCTTAGAATATCAGAAACGCATGTAAATTAAGGGAAATATTAATCAATACATATAAGACACTCTGTATGAAGGATACTTACCATTACCGAAACCTTACATTTAGATTTTTAGATTATTTACAAATACAATTGGTTTTTTATATACAGTGTGTCTCAAATATAGGTTTAAACCGTATGCGTATGGGAAACTTTTTTATTGATGATTTCTCAAAAAATGTATTCTTGATAAAAGTTACTGCTTTACCTAAAACAGGCTATACAAAATTAAAAAAATTCCTATTTAATCGAAAATACTGCTTTTAAACAAATTTTCCATTTTATATATTTACAAAAGAGGTGTGCTTTACTTATCAGTCAATTACATATTTTTTATTTCTCTCTTACATTGAGTTTTTGTAGAGCAGGTTAAAGCACAAACTGTAATCAAAAATAAAATATTTTCCATATTATGGTGCAAAATTTTTGATACAAACTGTATATTATTTAAGGTGTAGTTTAATCCCTAGTAGAAAAAAGAAGAGTATAGACATTTAATAAAGAACTTACTTTTTTATTATTTATTACAAAAGTATTAGTATCGACAACAGTAATAGATTTTAAAATTATTAAAATGTAATTTCTATAGGGTCACACAAAATTATTTGAAAACTGATTTAAAATCTACAATTTTATTTGCCTCTCTAAAAAATGATTTTTTTTATTACACAGTATCTTCAAACATAAAAACACTCATTTCAGCCATTTTTAAAAATGTCTGACGATGATATTTTGAGAGAGGGGATACGTTTAACTCCTTTGTCCTATATGTGACCATTTGGTATCAAATGTTAAACACATACATAAAATACAGTATTGGCCATCGAACATTTTTCAACATCCCTTTAGCTTTAGACGACGGTGGCTTAACTTAAAATTACTTATTTGTGTAATATATTTTACGTGTACAATGAAATTATTTTTTCCTTTTTTAATTCCGGCTTCTGCATTCATAAGCTAAACTGACTATCGTTGTAATCACTTAATAATAACACTGTATTTAAATTACTTCTTCATAAAAAAAAGCTCAAAATATACAAATGATACCCTGGCTTTTCTGTAACCAAAAAATGGCGGCCCATTATATTTGGTTATACGAGTTAGGTATCCCCTCGGTCTTCTGATATAAGATTTTAATATAATGCGATAGTAGCGAAAAGGTATCAAAATTCTGTCAAAATTCTGTCAAAATTCTGTCAAAATTCTGTCAAAATTCTGTCAAAATTCTGTCAAAGTTCTGTCAAAAGTCTGTCAAAATTCTGTAAAAATTCTGTCAAAATTCTGTCAAATTTCTGTCAAAATTCTGTCAAATTTCTTTCAAAATTCTTTCAAAATTCTTTTAAAATTCTTTCAAAATTCTTTTAATATTCTTTCAAAATTCTTTCAAAATTCTTTCAAAATTCTTTCAAAATTCTTTCAAAATTCTTTCAAAATTCTGTCAAAATTCTGTAAAAATTCTGTCAAAACTAGAGAAGGTTTTTTCCTTTAAAAAAAATTATACCTCTGACTATATCGAATTGTAGGTAATTACCAGGCGCAAATACAAGGAGGTGTAATAAAGTAATTACCCCCCTCTAGGCTGCTAGAATAAATCTTGTAATTTTTTTAATTTTATAACCTCGAGATGTAACGAGAAAGCAAAAAACAAAATTATTTACCTCCTCCCGAATAATCTTACCAGATCCGCGCCTGGCAATTACCCTCCCACACTTTATCGCTGCCACTGCTCTTGAGTACAATTAGTAGTAGGTACCTACACCTAAACAGTAACACAGAACACAAAGCTAATTACTTTAGTTGCAAAAACACAGAGAGAAAATATTATATATTGTTTTCTATTGAAATTGTTTTGGATGACCCTGTAGACGTCTAGTAACAGTTTTCTTTTGTTTTTATAGTATGCCGACCCCAAATAGGGGGAAAAAAAGTGATTTAATGTATGTATGCGTAGTAGGCTGCGTAATATTACTGATGCTGTACAAAATAAGATAGAGATCCTGGACTGTTTATATTATTAATTATTATTATTGCACGGTGTTCAGTATACTAGTAATAATTTTAGTTTTTTTAAAAATTTTTAACAAATTTTTCGTAGTTCTGTAGTACTTTTTTATATCAGTATATTATGCTTTCTGAATATTTTATTATTTTTAACTTTTTGAAGTTTTTATGTAGATAATACTAACCAAGATATTAGGGCCAATTTTATGATCAATTTAAAGGAGGCTTTAATATTAAAAGGACACTTTAAATATTATATTTATTACATAATACAGATTTATTAAAAAGTAGGTACACTCTAAAGCTTCATTTAACTAAATAGCGTAACCTAAAATTTAAAAAAATGTTATTTGTAAAAAAATATTAAAATTTGATAGCTAAAATATTACACCCCCGCCCCCAGTTGTTCAGAAAGTATATTTAAAAACGACTTATTTGTTTCCTAATTTCAAAACCCAAAACCTTCCTTATACATTTTCTGGCTACACTACTTTACACAAGATAAATATTTACATTTTAAAATAAATAATTATAAAACATTTTTGTGGCTAATATTCGCTAAATGTTAGAATAATTAGATACAAATCAGCAATACCAACTTGATAACATTTTGGTAAAGCACGTTTTAGTAAGTTTTAATAACTTCTTTTAGAGGAGACTTTAAAGTGATCTTTAAATAAAAGCCTATTTTGGTTAAATCCGTCTTTAAGGTTCGATTATGAAATTGACCCTTAGTATAATATGTAGATACTTTTAGAAGCTAATTTTTTTGGAATTTATTATCTTGTCAACTGTCACATTTAGTGTGTCAAGCAAAACAAGGTTAAATTCTAAACGTCCATCTAGGGTTCATTGGCAGTTCACAGAAACGCTTCACTTCCGGAAGTCAGTCTGATAAGACGAATCTTAAAAAAGACGACAAAAAAGAAGAATCAAATCGAAAATAAACACATTTTATCTTAACTAATCAGAAGTTATACAGATTTAAAATTGGCCATAACAGTTTTGTTTTTTACGCCTTCCTAAGGTAAATTTCTGGATACGAATCTGTCAATAATAGCCTGTATAGTGAAGTGATGCCAACTTAAATTCTTTTTCTGACCAAAATGACAGATAAGTTCCATCACATAGTGATACTTTTTCAAATGGTGTTTTATATAAATATAATTTAGTAATCTTCCAAAATATATTGATGCTACCTCGCAGCAGTTAACCGGTATGTCTCCGGTCACGTCTTGGATGCGTGTCTACTGAACTTAGCCGACTAGCGTTTAACTATCGACGACGTAGAATGAATGATGATGAATGAATTTGTGACGAGTGGGAAGGAGTAGGGCATTCAAATGATGGCTGTGTTTCAGTGCCGTCATACGAACTCCAAGAGGAGACTAACCCCAAGCCTGATTGAAGGGAGCCAGTGGCTAGACTCATGCCTGATTGTAGGGAATCTAGTGAAATCCCTCGGGAGGGGGGAGCAGAGGGATGCCTGAAAGGGTAAAATCCCTCGATACAGAAATATCAAAATTTTAACTTGTTATCACTGTTTGTTGGAGTAAGTTTGGTGCGATATTCCATTTAATTGATTGGTTGAATGTTTAAAATATCAATATCAAAGAAATAAAGGCGGCATACGCGTAGCATAGAAGAAAATACAGGTTTTACTGAATTTTATTGAAGTCTATGATGTAAAGATTTTAAGTTATTGTGATTACGCTCAAACATTGGTGGTATGACGTGGGTTCTTGGAATTGACCAGTGCAATAAAATCCAGAAGTAGTTTGACCTGTTCTCGGGCCAATAGGCTACTTTAAGATACGTTACGACAAAAGATAATGTTAGATAACTCCAAACTAAGTTGAGCATCACCAAGTTTTAAGAAAACTTGAAAAAGTACTAGATATAAATGTCCTGGTTAGCAAGTATTTATATTGTACCTCAAAGTACCCTGATAGGGAGTGTATGTAAATTAAAATGACAACCATAAAATTTATACATATGCAGGGTAAATCATAAGTTGATACTTTTTTTAAACTCTGTATAGCAGTTAAAATAAACAACTTTAAAAAAAAAATAAAAAATAAAAAGATAAAGATAAATCATTAAAAAAATTAAATGAGAACCTGGATTTTAAATCGAAAATTTATATATTTACGTTTTTACATTTATACCTTTTTGTTAGGTTATTATCGTGAATCACATGTTTATATGAAAACAATGGACGGTTTACCTTGTGTTTCAACACTTCAGTGAATGGTGCAAATGGTGAAAGTTTTTTATTTTTGAGTTTTTTTGAAAAAGTTTTTTGAAAAAATTGTTTATTTTAATAAATTCTGCCCAGTTAAAACAAGTGTCAACTAGAATTTCTTTAGTCTCTCGATGGGTCACGTGTAGCTAGCTCGAATTCTAGATCTTGAGAACTGGAGGTTACTGAAGCTTACTGGAGCTACTAG